AAATCAAACCACTCTAAATGACTTTGTTGGAATGGAATTCTCCTTTAATTAACATTTGTTATCCACCAATATTTCTAAAACATCAGTATAAACAATATATCACCTAGAACTAGTTTTTGTGCCAGGGGAGCTGCTTTTGGGTGCATTTAAAAGAGCAGTTTCTACTCATAGGGAGACATCAGGGTGTGTAGAGATGAGAAAAAGCTAGTGTTACTAACAGCAGGGGTGCCAGCCAGCGGCAACGGGCCTAATAAGGATTATGAACCAGCTGGCAGAAGATTTAGACTACTGTTTAAAAAAAAAGACTGTGGCTAGGCATAGGCACAAGTGTAGCAAGGGGCTTAATGTTGAATGGAGCTGACTCAGTGTTGAACTATGGCGGTCATCATGACTCACTTAGTTTGCTTTGTTTCACGTTCTTCATACACAAAGACCTTACAATCTGTGAAAAAGAGAGCACTGTTTAATATTAACTGCATGTTCTTCATAGGAATGTACTCCTATGTACTTTCCTAGTACTTTGTAAATGCAGCCAGCGTGGTGCCATCTGTAATAAACGTAAAAGCCAGATGGAGTCATATTACATTGCAACACATCCTTAATTAACTGGACCCTCTCACTCTCAGCTCTAAACGTGACTCTAGAGTGTTATGGCAGAGGCCTCAAGCATGTCACAGATTATCGAGGATTTCAGTCTGTTCCTGGGACTAATTTGACTCTCATTGTTATGGCATCACTCTATATGCCTCAGCCTGGGCAGTCAATAAATACTGGCTGTAAGTGACTTGTTTAAGCCCTTGAAAGCAAAGCTTACTGTTCCATTATTAATCCTCAAACGTTACAGGTGTATTTAGCGTTAAATAAGAGCATGTTGTAATTTATTATTGTTACAAGCTTGTTTTTATTAAAATTATTATGAATAAAATAAGATCGAAAGGTAAAATAATGAAAGTTCACTATGTTAAAACAATATTAGACAAAGAAGAGCAAAAAAATTATATAATAAAAATATAAATTGGAACCCAAAGTTTTACATACGACTGTAGCTGTCCACTGAACTGCATGTAAAGGTAGTCCATACACCATGATTTGACAGGTGCATGTATGTGTGTGAGCATGTGTGAATTCTGCTGTGGGGTTATTGGCCAATGGCCTGAGAAACCAAGCAGTTCTTACTGAACCCCTGCATCCCCCTACAACTGAGGTGGGGGGAGTTAGGTGTGTGTGTGTGTGTGTATTGGCAGAGGGTTATCATCCTCAGCTGAGGTCCTCTAATAAGGATGTGTTGTCTCTCTCTCTCGCTCTCTTTCTCTCTCTATCTCTCTCCCTCCCTCCCCCTCTCCCCCATGTTCTTGTCTAAAGACAGCTGCTCCCAGTGTGTGTGCGTGCGTGTTTTCTCTTAGTTTCAGGACAACAATGTAGGGAGGTACCAATATGGATGTGGGTTGATGCCAGTATCCAGTATTTTTCATGTACACATCTAAATTGGTTCCTTTTACATTACAAAGAAACATAACATTTATTTCTGTAGAATTACAAATGCAGTAAAAAGTTGGTTATCAGGCTGACAGAATATTGAGTTAGTGGAACTTCTAGTATTAAGTTAACAGAGCAAAAGAATATGTTAACTTATTGCTGCTTACTGCTAGAACTTACTATTACTTAATATAAATAATAATAATAATAATAATAATGCCTTTTTCTTCACTCTTCTTTTTATTTTCTTTTACAATTACATGAAAGGAGCCTTACACAGTATTGTAAACCAGATCTCCAAAATGCAAATTTTCTATTTGTTTAATTTTATATGTTTGAACTGTTCTTTCGAAACAATCTAAAGTTCCCAGTAAATGTCACGTTGCCAATTAGAGTTATTATTTCTAAAAGTAATAATCAGTTTTGTTGCACAAATAATACACATTGAACATTTTTACCCCATGTCCTGACATGACATAACAGATGTGTCTGTGTGTGGGTCCAGTCTAAAGCCACTGGTCTTTTCTCTGGATTAACTTTCTTAGTGTTGCCTTTAATATTGAGGAGCAAGACAGGTCATGATCATCCAGGTGTTAAATCCCGAGCTTTGGGTGGTGTTAAATTTGTTCTCTGTGCTGGCTACTCCCATAGTCTAAACAGATTCTTGTTTATGTTGTCAGAAGTTGAATGCACTATGGACAAATGCCTGTAAAAGCTACAAAATAACCTTAATATTTCTTATGCAAGGGCAAGAAATGCCAGTGTTTGAGTTTTATTCATTTATTTATTTTAATATTTACATTTACATTTTCTTGATCACTAATATAAATTTAATGAAACTGGGGTTGAATCTTAATTTTCATAGTCACTTTCTTAACAAAGCAGAAGATGCCTTTTGCAAATGTGTTAGCATGTTCTTATTGCTTTCAGTAATTTTTCACAACCTTTACAGAACTATTAACATCAATCTCATCAAACCACAAAAACACAAAATTTCAGTGGATAACTGTGCAAAACAAAAGGAAAAGATTTAGCGAGAAGCTTATAGAAAATACTTTCATAGTCATGTCAACCTTTAGCACCCATGTAAAAAACATAGTGCACATTTGTTAGCTCAGCAATCAGTCATCATCAGTTGTTGATGTCAGCACTGATTCTGTTCTTTAGTAAAGACAATGGTTCATACACTGATGTGCCAAAAGTTTTTTTTTTTTAAGAATGTACTAGAGATACTATAACCATGTGTCTCAAGTGAATTTATTGCACATCCCCATCCACCAAAAAAAAACATTTTTACCTGAGGTATTCAGAAAGATTGTTTTATGTGGGGAGTTATACACATTGTGTCACATTGTGATATTCTAACACTTTGTCACATTCTACATCTGTGAAATATTAGCAGAGTTTTTTGTGGGGGTTTTTTTTCTCCTTCAAGTGAGAGCTTGAAGGAGTTTGCTTTGCTGATTGTCAGTTGTAGTGTTTGATGGAAAAGTTTGCCTTAGTGTTATGTGGAGTTTTTACCATTTTGCAAAGAAAAAACTTATAAAAACTAAAAATGATATGGCCAGCAAGCCTCTGTTGAGTATCATGTGTTAACTGTTTTGAAAATATGGCTCCTGAATGACAAAAGTGTTGAGAAAAACTGTAATCTATTCTATTTGAAATTTTTTGGGTGTATTTTTAGATTGTAGATTCCCAGGGCAGTAACATTAACCTGAGAGGTCTAAACTAAAGCTGTAGGTTCAGCAGGCCTGTGCAGGTGGGAGAGGAGTATGTTTATGTGCTGAGTGACTCTGATGCTCGAAGCAGAATTGACAGGAATGTGGAGGGTGATAGGGGAGGAGGCGAGTTTTGCTCAGTGGAGTTGGTCAGAACGGGTTGCGTCCCAGTGCTCAGTGAACCGAACTGAAAGAGGTTTTTCATGGAAATTGTCGATGAAGACTTTTGACAGACAAGCAGCTTCACACAGGGAGACGTTATTGGCCACTGACTGCGTACATCAATAAAAATCTATCTTTGTCATATTGAATACACACACTCTCATCGTAGAGGTCTTATATGAATATGTAATGCAGAAAGTATGTTAGGATATGGAGCAGAATAATTGTAAAATGGATTTACACAAAAACGATTTCATAAAAAAGATCTGTGGCTGCTTGCGTAAAACTTAAGTATTTATCTTAAATTAAAGGCTTAAGGGATGCATTTAAAGCTGTCAGTTTAACTTTAAATTTGCAACTGTCAAAAATAGATGTGTTGAAATTTAGTGTTTAAAATTCTAAGTTTGCAATTATGGTTATGTTTCACTTTCCACTTAAACACAATTAAAAACCTAAGGCCAAAATTCACTTAAGATGTTTTATGCAAGTGAGCACAGGCCTGGAACTCCTCACTTTTAGCAAATTTCCCACCTGCTCACCCTGATTTCCTCTGCTCACCTGCTCTGTTTCACTATTATTTATACTCATACTATTACTTATACAACTACACTAACAAGTACTTGCAATTACAAATGTTTTTTTTTTTTTTAGCTTATTGGGCAATAAGCTAAAACGTGACGAAATAACGTAATTATTTCATAACTGCCTCTACTATTTTTCACAAAATCTAACATTTTCTTTTGTCAGAGGCATTGTCTGCACTAATATTAAATACACTTAATCAAGGTCAAAAGGAAAGAGAGTGGTTCTGTTGGATTCACAAGTTGGCTTGAGGAATATCCCGTGAATCTGTGAATCCATGTTGACTCGAAGATGAGGAGTTGGATTCGCACTGTGGCGTCACATAAATTAATAAAGTGACCCTCATGGTCACTTCTAATCTGAAGTTTGACATTTTGACGAGTAACACAGATGGACTCCCCAAATAGGATTCGGTCCTATTTCTGTCTGCGCAACTGTGTAGACCTCCTGCTCTGAGTCAGTGTGAGAACAACCCAGGCCAGACCCTGGAGAAGAACATGATTTCAAACAGGAAATACCCTCCTCCATGGGAACTAGCCAGCCAATAACACAGAGCAGAGGGGATTCTATTTTCATCTGGAAGCTGGAAGCTCTATACAGAGCTGCCCGAGGGTTGTGAGATTTGTTTGTTTTGAAGCAGTTGTTGGTCGTTCTGATACCTTTAAGACCTTAAGTTCGGTCTAAAGTATTATCAGTAGTGAAGAGTGGTCAATATGCAGCTGAATGACAAAATCACTGTTTTATGGACAACAATTGATGATCGTAGGTTATCTCTTTTATGCATGGCATGCTTCACATCAGCAGATAGCTCTAAGTAGCTCTAACCCACCAATCTAATCTCATTTCATTGACTGGACCTCAGGTTTGTTAACTTCTGGCTCCAATTAGTTTTGGTTAAAGTCATTAGCCAAGGGGCTCACATGCTTTTTTTCACATAGTGAATGATGGATGTGATCTTTTCAGAATGGACAAGAACAATTCATTATTTTTGGGGTGTATTACCTACACTGAATAAAGTACTAAATGAATACATTAAAAGTTTGTTTGTCTTCTTGTTTTTAGGTTCCTTATGTGTGATGGTGGCCACGGATGGCCTTGATCGAGCTGCCCCTTCATTTCACCCCTTACTTTCTGTCTTTCTCTCTGTCTTTCTCTTTCTTCCTTTCTCTTCCTCTCCTTCCAGCAGTCCAAAATCAGGGGCCTCCAGACTCACCTTCTTCAGTCATGGACCACAGGTAAGGACCTTGCTGAAAATTCTCCTTTTATTAATTTCACGTTTGACAAAGAAAGGTAAACAAGAAACTTAGCCTGCTTCTGAGCAATTGTGTTATTTTAATTACACACACTTTAAAACATCCTTCAAACCATCACATTTTAACTCTGACATCAATATACTGTATTTTTTCATTGTTTTAAATTGTCTTAAAAAAAAGTAAGCTGTGCACTGATTTGAAAGATGGAGGGCAAAAAAGAGAGAAAAAGAGAGAGATGATCTGTACAGTATAAATTGTGATGTGGGAAATCTCTCTCTTCCTTCTCAGGTTAACACCACGCCCCCACCGGGCTACAGGGCAAATCAAGACCACCTCTGCCTCCATCACACAATCCCCCCTCCGCGCCGCTCTTTTTTCTACTGTTACACCACTAACACTTTGATAGAAGGAGTACACACGACGGTAGCATTAAAAAATGCTGCATTCATGCTGCCAGTGGAGTCACTCATACATTTCTGCTATGTGATGTGCGCACGATAAGACTGTATAAAAAAATATGAATTTTCTGCTCATTATTCAGTTATTAATCTTATTCAGTAGCTACTATGAATTATTCTAATAGTAATCAGTAACCACTATTAAACAAAAATCTAAGTTATACAGTTTTAAGAGTGAGACATTGAGCTCCACCAACAAATGTATTCTTTCATAGCAACTGTTGCAAGGTTGGACAAGCTTTACAGAGCGCAGGTCAAAATCCCACTCAGCCTAATGAGAAACTGTAGCGCTGTAGCTAAGCTTTTGTCAGAACACCTGTATTTAGTGTGTGTTATTAATTTCAAAGGTTATTTATATTGCGTATGTGGGAAAGGTCACACTGTCAGGTTAGATCAGGTGTAGTTGTTTTGAATCAAGCTAACACTAGCATGCAATTTCCAACCTACCTAGTAATTTCCAAACTATCTAGTTTCAATTAACTACAAGCTTGGTAGGCTAACATTTTAATCTTAGAACCCAACATTATGTAGCGGCTCTAAACAAACGTTTTTAGCAGTTCAATATGAATAACCACTAACGTATTTAAATACTTATTTTAACTAAAACGACTCACATTTTCTCATTAGGTTGAATGTTTGTTTTGTTAGTGTTCTGTAAAGATAGCAACAGTTGCTATGAAAGAAAGTGTAGGCTCACATTTGTACTGCCTGTACAAATCCTCAGTTTTTCACCACAAACCCTGTGACCTCTGTGCAGTGATGACTAAGCCATGCAGGTGAAATGTGGAACTCCTTGTATTGAAATGTTATGGTTGTGTATTAATCATATTATCTCTACCATTATTATTATTGTTATTATTGTCGTTGTTGTTATTTACATTGATTATACCTAAAAAGAAATTCTGATCAAGTTGACGCATGACTCGCCAAAATGATGACGCTGTACATTTTTAGATATTTTGAAGAAAAATACGAAGTATTTTTGTAATCAAGTGAATGTTTTAGTGCTGTGTGTTTGATTGCTGATGTTGTCCGTTACGTGTGCGAGAATTTCAGTTTGATGACTCTGAATGTGTTCTCTCTTTGCTCTCTGAATGTGTTCTATCTTGCCCAGTTGTCCTATGCATGCTCGCTTCATACATGTGCTCTTTTGTAGCAACTGTTTCTAGGTTGGCCAAGCTTTACAGTGCTGGTAAAAATACCATTCAACCAAATGAGAAACTGTAGAACACACTCAGTTTATATCACAATACCTACATTTAGAGTGAGTTATTCATTCAACCGAATGAGAAGCTATAGAACACACTCAGTTTATATCACAGTACCTACATTTAGAGTGAGTTATTCATTCAACCTGAGAACTGTAGAACAGACTCAGTTTATATCACAGTACCTACATTTAGAGCGAGTTATTCATTCAACCTGATGAGAAGCTGTAGCTTACAACTCAGTTTTTTTAAATGCTTAAATTTACGGTGTATTATTAATTTAAAACGAATACATTTATTTCATGTTCATGTGGAAGGTCACACTTTTAGGACAGGTGTAGTATCTTGGGCCTATTTCTGCATTCAATCAATCTAACGTTACCATATTCGTGGCAAATTCGTTATTGTCTGACCTGCCTAGTGTTATATTTTAAACTGAAAGCTCGACATTATGTAGCATTTCAATGTGAATGATTTAAATATTTTAAACTGCGCTACAGTTTCTCATTAGGTTGAATAGTGTTTTTGCTAATGTTTAGTAAAGCTTGTTCAACCTTGCAACAGTAGCTACAAGTAGGACACATTTGAGTATGACAGAGCATGGATAGGTAAACTCTGTTCTCTCTCCTGTAGCATTATTAGTATGAGGATGTCAGAGCAACAAAAGCATTGAGAAAGAATCATGTAGCACAGCAGAGAATCGTAGTTAAATGACTTTATTCAGATATTAATTGCATGGTACAGATTTTTAGCTGGTTCTGATAATCAGACCTCTTTGTTACTGGCCTTATGATGCCATGCAGTGATAGAACGGTATTGGATGTCATAAAGAGTAATATTTTATCTTTTGGGTCAAATTGCTTTGTTTTCCCAATTTATTCCAGCTGTTTTCCCTGGCAGAAAGACATCCAAGCCAAACTTGTGTTTGAGTTATCTCTGCATTTTAGGCATTTATTTTGTAACTGCATCTACTGTAACAGCACCATGAAATCTTTTTTCCTTAACCCTTAGAAGTCAAATTAGTGCTGCTCGTTATTAAAACACAATTACATAACTACATATTTAATGAATATTAATGTCTTTGAACTTCTGAGATTTTTTAGAGTACCTTGGACATTAAGAAAACAAACAAATCAGTCCTTAACCAAATTAATCATCTCATAAATCCCAGATAATCACACTGAAGCTCTTATTTTGGACATATTCTGAGAAGAAGCAGTTCATTGTAAAGACTATTATGCTTAGAACAGTTAGTGGTTCCATACAATTGGATGAATGATGGAACAGTCCATTGAGAAGCCTAAAGACCAGAACAGATGTTTAATTACACAGTTAAGGTCACACTGTAAGTTTTATGGATTTGGGGACTTTTTTTTTGAGCCCTCTCTTGTGGAATAATACTTTAGTCTGTGGGTTGTGCTTTGGACCCCATCCCTAAATGGATGAATCTGATGATTATGAGCACGTTAGCATGTTAAAAGAGTATTCAAAGAGAACTCAATCAAAACTTGGTGAAGGATGTGTCTTCTGAGGATGTAAGTGAACGATCTACTATTGTCGTCATATCTTGCTGATGCTGATTTTGCATTTAAAATCTAAATATTGAACCATACTGTATTTTTAAGCCTCTGCATGTGAGACGTTAGTATGTAAAAATGTACAACGCGTTACGAAAAACTCCCAATCTGACGCCTCTGACTTTTAAATGATTATTTCAGGCATTACAGGGTGACTCGCAGTAGTGCATGCACACCATATTTGTTTGTATTTTCACTTCTTACAAAGTGCATTATTTACATACTTATTTGTATAATTAAATACACTTAAATTCTGCAAAATGTATTTTCTTTCTGCAACAGAAAGCTGTACAGGTACAATAACTTTCTATCAAAATCAAACTATAATAAATCTCCTCTTCTACTCGACTCGAGTGAGATATAATGCATATAAAATTACAGCACATTCCTGTTATCACAGATGACTTCTAAGGGTTAAAGCTGAGTATTGATGTTCCAGTAGAGGCAGGTAATGTGAATGTTATTCGTATAGACGTACACTGTATGGATGATGTGACAGCGCTGGTTCTCCGATTTGGCATCTCTGCTAGCATGCCGTCCTTTTTTCTTATTGTAGAAAAGTAATTTTTCATACCTGTGAGTGTTTTTTTCCAAGGGTGAAGGGTGTCATATATTTTCGGATCTGAGAAAGAGAAAAAAGGAGAGAAAAAACTCCAGTCCAGTGTTTGTAAAGTCTAAAAATAGCTTCATATGTCTCTCTCCCTCTTCTGATGCTATTGTGGTCGTTGCATTGGGACGAGAAACGAAAATACTTCAAAACCCGTCCGGTCTTCAGAACGCGTGAGCTGGAGATGAACTCAATACTGAAGCCATTTGTTTTTCGTGCATGCTTTTGGCATGAATCTATTTTCATTTGTTCATTTTCTTCAGTGTACGTGGTTAATATGTAATATCAACATCTGATCTTCCTTTTTTTTGAGTGTGGTTTTGCCAGAAGATACTGTATGAAATGTCTTTGTGGAAAAAATAATAAAAAATGATTTTTTATATAAACAAACTCTACTGACACATCTCACCAGCGTAATATCCTGTTTATCAGTTTGTTCCTCTGTCTGTACTCAGTATTTTATCCCTTTCTCAGGAAGCTCCTTTACCGTCATTCTTCTTTCGCTTTTTGAGGCACTGGATGTGTTTTTTCTTTTTTGAAGGTGTGATAATGCATCCATCTTTCACACCTTTCTCTCTTTCACACCTCTCTCTCTCTCTTTATCCTGTTGCCCCCTCTTCTCCCTAGTGTCTCTCTCTCACTCTTTCTTTTCTCATCATCCTCTCTTCCATTTTTCTTCTCTTGCTCTTGCTCTCCTTTCTCTCTCTCTCTCCTCTCCCTTTTTCTCTTCCCACTCACTTCTCACCATGTCTCTTTCTACTTCCTCTCTCTTCTTTTTCACTTTCTTCTTTCTCTTTCTCTCTTTTTCTTTCCTCTCTCTTTTCACCGTTTTATCTTTTCTTCTTCCTTTGTTTCCCTCCTCTCTCTCCCCTCTCTGTTTCTCTCTCTCTACCCTCTCTTTCTGTTATTTTTCTCTCACTCCCTTCTTCTCCTCATGTCTCTTTTTCTTCCTCTTCCTTTACAACTCTCTTTTCTCTTGCTCCTTTTCTCTCTCTCTCTCATTCTGTCTCTTCCCCTTCCGTTCACCCCATGTATCATTTTATTCACTCTCTTTCCCTCTCCTTGTTCTTTCTCTCTCACTCTTTCTCTCTGTCTCTCTCTCTCTCCCAGCTGCCCTCTTCTTGCCCTCTTGCAGTAATAGTCTCTTTCTCTCTCTGGAGGGAGAACCTCATGGGGGGTGAGGGTGGTTGAGGGAGGATCGAGAAGAAGGAGGGAAGCAGCAATTTCCTCACACATACACACCACACACACTCTAGAGAGTCTAAGACATCGTTTTCATTCTGTTGAAGTCACACGTCCTGGTCATGTGACTCCCACTGGAGCTGGCCACCAGCCTGCTGCAAAGCATTGTGGGATAGATTGAAGTAGCATGAAGTTTTGTCACGTTGATAATGCAGACGTGTTTCTGATAAGAGCATTTAAGAGGTGTTGTTGTGTATGACTCTTTACTGTGTGTGTGCGTTAGGGGTGTAAAAATGCATTCGTGCATCCATCCGAATGTGGATAATCAACTGCATTAATTATGGAAGATTAGAATGAATGAAAAGGTAATAATTTTAATAAAGTATTTGCTCTTTTTTTTTTTTCCAAAATTAAGTTCACTTGTCTATATTTGCTAGTAAATCTTAATCATATTGAATCATTATGACACAGTGCAATAAAGGAGCTTGTCTTGTCTTTTTTTATATTTTATTCTTTTGCTGTGGCAGTGTATTTGTTTCAGTGAGGAACCCTCAGGTCTTTCTCAGATTTCAGAGAAGGCCTAATGGTTTCTGTGAAAAAAAGTCAAATATTTAGGTCATTTTTATTTAATTACGCCTGTTCTTTTTTTAAACTCATAGTAACAGTCACATTTCAATGGAAAGTTTTGGATAGGAACCAAAAGGATTAAAATCTTGGAACGCCTAACAGAAAAATTGTCCAGTCGGGATTGCTTTCTCTGGGGTGTCTAAGTAGATACAGTCAAGCAAGCTTACCCATTGGTCAGGACTTCAGGGACTGGACTGAAGGACTTACATGTTAGGTTAACCAACAACATGATCAGGAAGTGATGATTGTAACCAATTCTGTGAGAAAAATAGCACTTCTGGAAGTTGTAGATATGTCACTGTCTCTGAATACCAGCTGCACCTCTAACTAGGTTTCAGTCAGTTGTTAGAAATGGAAAACAGCGGTGGCAGCTCTAAGCCAGGACTCTGGAACCTGTGAACCTGATGCATACAAGCTCAACAATATGCTAGTGTCTATTACAATCCTCACGTTAATGTGAATCGCTGTAAGCTTTATTGCTAAAATATATATATATGCTCAGCTCTGTTTCAACACTAGCACACATTAGCACTATGATAGTAGTGTTTTTTTACCTTGTAGTCACAGTTCGCAACTGTTTTAAATGGTGGACTGTGATGATGGTAGATTATTGCCAAAAATATTCTAATCAAATTGAGGCAAATCAAGGTGGTATTTGAGATTGCATAGTGTGCTGAATCGTTTCAGTAAATAATGCATAAAGAATCGAAATTGAGATCAGACAGTTATGCTTGTGTTCATGTATTTGTGAATGAGTGCAAAGGCATGTGTGTAATCATGTAGAATCACTCTGTCCTGTACTTTTTAGGTTATTTTTCTCAGTGTGAGAATAAATAGCCTCACTTTGTTCCTGATCTGTCAGTAGAATATTACAGCACTGCTCAAGAATGCTGGTGTTTGAGAAAAAGTAAAATTAGATTACAAATCTGTGAGCGGCTGTGTGTGTTAGAGTTACCTCATCGCTGAAATATTACCCTCTCTAGCTCTGATTTACTCCACAGGGAGGCCGTGTTTTCTCTGTCTTTTAATAGAACTGTTTGCAACCAGGAAAGTAGTATGAATTGTGCTCGCCTGGTATTATTAATATGACATATTTTGGTGAGTTTTTACAAATGTGAACGGACGTGAGCCAGTGTTTTCATACAGAAATGATCCAACCCCAGACATAGGCCTAGCAGCCTAACTGTAATGACCACGTTTTCTTCAAATTCCACATTTTCCTCTAAAACCTTTTGCTCGAAGCATGGATTCATCATCTCAAGTGCTGTCTCCAAATTGTATGCAGAATACTATTATAAGGTACATACTGTGTTTAAATCGTAAGGTTACACCAAATATTCCACTGTAGATGCTTTGTAGATAATAAAGTTTGTCTTTAACTAACATCTAACTAAATATTTATTAAATGCAACCAATTTTCTAAATTGTCTAATTCAGTGGTTGAGATATAAACAGCCATTCAGAGTGGTTTGATGCGAAATAGTTCATTGTAAAGACTCAGATTTCTTTACAATGGTGGTGATAGGAACCAGGGGTCAAAATAAAATTTTGCCATTTTATTTACTATCCAAAACAACTAGTGAGCCTGCCCGTGTCTTTTGAATGTTCATGATGGTAAAATAGTGGTAAATCTGACAAAATAAGTTTTCTATGGGGGCACCCTGCACCACTCCACCATAAATGGATTAAAAAAAAACATTTTAGGCCAAAAGCTCTTCTTAAAGCAAACATTCAACAATATCTCATGCACCAGGCAAAGTAATCGTAACAATTTAATGTAATAACTTTGTGTTGGAGCTTTTAGAGGTGGACGTCTGGTTCCTGTCACAGCCACTGTGACTCGATAAGTTACTCTTGAATGGAGCGTATTGCATCAAACCACTCTGAATGACTCTGTTTACATCTTAATTATATGCAGAAATTAAAAAAAAAAATCTGTAGAATTCCCATTTTTGTTCAATGTAATAGATTCTATTAAACCTAACCCTAATTCTAAACATATCCCTAATCTTAACTTTAATCCAAACCCTAATCCTAACCTTAACCTTGACTTTAACCCAAAACCTAATCCTCCCCTAACTTTATCTTTAACCCAAAACATTACTGTAAATTTAACTTTAACTTCAACCGAAAACCTAATCCTAATCTTAACCTTAACTTCAGCCCAAAACCTAATCTTAACCTTAACTTCAACCTAAAACCTAATCTTAACTTCAACCTAAAACCTGATCTTAACCCTAACCTTAACTTCAACCTAAAACCTAATCCTAATTCTAACCTTAACTTCAACCTAAAACCTAATCCTCTCCTAACCTTACCTTTAACCCAGAACCTAATGTTAACCCTAACCTTATCTTTAACCCAAAACTTAATCTTAACCCTAACCTAAAACTTAATTCTAATTCTTACCTTTACTTCAACCCAAAACCTAATCCTCTCCTAACCTTATCTTTAACCCAAAACCTAATGCTAAACTTAACCTTAACTTCAACCTAAAACCTAATCCTAATCATAACCTCTGGGGAGACTGACTTGGACTCTCCCTGGCTCCGCCCACTCTCCTCCTCTCCCACACACCTGCAGCTCCTTTTGGGCTCATTAAGACCGATATACTCCATTGTTTCCACTGTGTATCTCTTCGTTTACTACCTGAGTTCTGAGCCTTTTTCTTCTGTTCCGATTATGGATCTGCATCTTTTCCTGCCTGCCTCTGTGTTGACCAGTGCCTGCTATGACGATGAGTATCGGAATTCCCTTTAAAGTCACTTCGCACTTGCAACCTGCCTCAGCCCCTATGTTACAAACTTCAACCTAAAACCTAATCCTAATCTTAACCTGAACTTCAACCTAAAACCTAATCCTATACTATACTATCCTATAAACTATAACCAGAACACTGTTGATGACAGTTTCACCAGGTAGCATGTTAAAACATCTGTTAATAATTTGTAGGGACTATCAAAAGTATAACCATATTAACATACTGCACTGTTTTGTATTAACAGAAGGTGATGTTACCGTGTGTGGTGTCAAATTGATTTTTACCCAGTAATCAAACGAATCAAACTAAGTATGCATTCTGGATTTTTTTTAGTTTACTTCAGCACTAGTAAATATCCTACATACTGCATAGTCGTATCCAAAGGTTTCGGTGGCCCTGGTCAAATTCCATGTTTTGTTGTTTTTCTAAGATCACATCTGTTACAGAGAGTGCACCTCTGAAACTGTAGAAAACATGGTCTGCGCAAAAGTTATAGCACATTTTATATTTAGTTTTTTCCACTGTGGTATACTTAGCTAGTAAAAAAAATGCCATACTTAAGTGTGTTCTGTGTACATGATGTGTTAACTTATTTTCACTTAGAAAATCAACGGAACATGTAATTTGACCGGGCCGTTCGACCGTACACTCAAAAGCCTGGGACATTTCATGAAATAAAAAGAAGTCAAACTTTTAAACAGCTAGGAGTCAGATTCTTTCCCTCATATAAATTCATTCTCTGAATCAAAACCTCTCCCAAATGAATCAGCTCTCTTCATTCTGTGAACAGTAGTTATATTTTGACTCAGTACTCAGTACTGAATCCTCT